CTGACAAGAATTTATTTAGAGCTTATGGTTTCAGAGCTTCAGTCCATGGTTGGCTGACTTCATTGCTCTGGGTCTGAGATGAGGAAGAACATAATGGTGGAAGGGTGTGGGGGAGGAAAGCTGCTCAGCTCATGGCAGCCAGGAAGCGGGGGTGGGGGGGGGCAGGAGCCAGGGACAAAATAGAATCCCCAAGGGCACATCCCCCATGACCTGCTTCCTCCAGCCATGCCCCACCTGCCTACAGTTACCACCCAGTAATCTATTGAAATTACAAATCCATCAAATGGATCAATCCACTGATTCAGTTATAACTTTCTTAATCTAATCTTTTCACCTCTCAACATTCCTGCATTACCTAAATTAGCTTTTCAGCAGCCACCTCCTATCCAAACCACAGTAGTTTTTGCTTACCATGTCAGATATGGCAGAGCACCATGGGGAGGAATTTCTTTAAAACCAAAAGAGCATTTCTTAGACCCACCCATTTCTCTGTTCTCATGTGATGGTGATATCCTCAGGTGAACTCCACTAAGGGTTAAGACTTCATGCTCTTCCTGACTTAAGCTCCTTTATGACTTTAAGATTCTGACCTTATTGACACTTTAAAGATTTTAAAACCATTATAGCAGCCACTTGAATTTTTGTGAGGTTTTCTTTAACAATTCTTCCCAATGTGTGGTCAGATAAGCCAACAGGGAGTGGGGGCTGCACTTGTCACATGAGCCTTTTCTTTAACAGCAATAGCTCCTTGATTGGACTTTAGACGTTTGGGAACTGAATCTCACCTGTACCCTTAGCACCTGGCCAGGCCTCCCTTAGGATCACCATAGGCAGCCTTGACTGGATGGCTGCACCCTACTGAATGAGGGAGTGTTGACGCCCTGCTTCCCCCACCTCACAGTTGCTAGTGTCTAAATCTATAGAGGAGGTTGGATTGTTTTAGCCCAAGACTTCACAAATGTAAACAACTTTATGTAAATTTCTAAGTGGAGAGGACTAGAACCAAAGTGGGAGAGGACAGGTGGGAAGTGGCATTTCAGAGAGTGACCTAGCTTGAGGACATGCTCTTACCCAGGATTATCTTCGTGGGACCTCATGGCAGATGGAGACAGGACTGTCAACAGCATGAAATCCTGATCCTTGAAAGGATTTGGAAGTATTCGAGTTGTCTGAAGCACAAGATGAAAGATGATGAGTTTGTGGGAATGCCCTGGAAACAGACAAAACAAATGTCAAAGATTGTTATGTGATTAAAAAAGAAAAAACAAAAATGAGCATCCACAAAAACTGATAAGGCTTGGCAGCTTCCGTTGGTCTTCCTGGGAAATTTTACCTGAACTGGCAACCAGGTGCTCTAGAGCTGTTGGCTGGGGTCACCTGTCAGAAGCAGGATCCCTTGATATGGTGGCACATGGTTACTTACCAGGATCTCATACACACAGAAGCTATGTGAGTCCTGTTGAATGAGGTCAGGCACTTGCAAGGTCAGATCAGAGTGCCAGCTGCCAGAAGGTTTCATCAAGTTGCTAGAACTGAGGTTCTGACATAAGGTTCAATTTGAGGTAGAGCCAGAGAACACCTTGCTATGTGAGTTTGAGGTGCCCCAGCTAAAATGCAAAGGATACTAAAGTATCCTTTCTGCCTCATGTCTTCCTTCTCTCAGTAAATATCAGATGCCTAATGCATACCATGTGTTCTGCTGTGGGTCCTGTGGAGAGGCCCTTATGGCAATCAGGCTTCTGAAAAAGACAGATGACTAAGTAGATAAGTACAGGTAGATAATTTTAAGCCAGTGTTCTGCAAATAGCTCACAGATCCTCTGATGAAGGTTGAGAAAAGCTAGAAAACTTTTGAGTAGGTAGATCTTCAGAGAGGGTGTCCCCATCAAAGAGACAGCACAGTGCAGGGACAGGAGCATAAGAAGAGTACACATAGGAAGAGAGTGATGGGAGGCTTCCAGCAGGGGATAGACATTTGGTGAAGAGGATAAAGCTGACCAACTCTAAAATCTTGAATGATCTTTAGCCAAGTAGATGTGAAAGAAATTGTCAGGGTTAGGAATGGGTGGGCTGGTGACACCCTTAATTACAACTGGAAAGCACACAGGGTCCGAGACTGGCAGGTCCAGCTCTATGGGTGAGCCTGCTGCTGGGGCTTCCCGTGCTGGGTTCTGGAGTGGGTTTCAGGCAACAGAGTTTGCGTAACAGCTGCACCCTGGCCACCGTGGCTCTCAGAGTTGAGAATGGCTATACTAAGGCCTAGGGGGAACACTGTGAAGTGTTGCAAAAACAAACTAAAATTAAGAAACTAAGTTGCTTCTAATGATAGAAAAGGAACAAGTCTTCCTCTCTTAATCCTTGGAAAGTTTCCAAACCCTACCAAGCAACAAAAGATTATATAGTGAATCAACTTGTAGCTCGCTCTTAATTCTTTAAGAACTACTTTTCTTTATGTATCATACCTTTATCTCTTAACTGACCTGTTGTGGCCTCCCTTTCCTCCTTCATATCATTCTTCTGCCCTTTTATCAGTTCCTTTCTTCTAAAATAAGTTCTCAGACTAATGAATTTCTACAAGGAATGAGTCAGGTGGTGATTGATACCTCAACTAGGAGTTGATCTCCTGCCATGTGACTCTGTGCTATATGTTTGCCTCATACTTGTTATCTGTCACTCTACAGTATGAGGTACAAGGTCATTTTTCTTCAAGGAAAATTGTTTTTTAAAAAAAGATCCACTTGGGAATGGAATCAACATTTTGGCTTTATTCATGGAAGAGACCAATATCTCAGATGACGTCTGTATTTTGCAATCCTGGGAATTGTTCTCTTAGCAGTCATAGTATTTGGGAAAGTAAACCCTTGCATACACTCACTCAGCGTCTCTATGGTTTATATAGTACCACTTAGATACTTTCAGTTGCATTGAGTGTTGAAGGTCTGACTCCACCCAAGGGAAATTAGTTTTCTTTCTTTTTTGTTTTGGGTTGGGGATTGAACCCAACGGTACTTAACCCACTAAGCCACATCCCTAGCCTTTTCTTTCTTTTTTCTTTTTCTTTTTTTTTGAAACAGGCTCTCACTAAGTTGCTAAGTGAGTCTGTCTTTGAACTTGTAATCCTCCTGCCTCAGGTCAGCCTCAGGAGCCACTATGATTACAGGTGTGCTCCATGCACCAGTAGGAAATTCGTTTTAAGAGACAAATTTGTTTTTCTCTGCAATCTCAGCATTCTTATTGCCGACAGTTGCCTTACTCATCAACACCTTGCAATTTGAATCTTTGACTACCAGGTCTGTACCCACTGTCCACACCTCCAGCCACAGAGCCTTTCTTTCTGGGTCTCTCCCCTGAACTTTTCCTGCCATGGCACCCTTACATGCACTGTTCTTTCCACCCAGAATGCTCCTTCCCTCCTCTCCAGCTTGTCTCTTCTTATTTCGTAGGCTCCAGTTCAAATGTCACTGAAGGGCAGGATACTTTCTTGATCTTCCTCAGTACAACAGCTTCCTTTGTGTAAACCTTGTGGTGCACTGAATTGGACATTGAAAAACGTTGAAAATGGTGAATTCTTTGTAATGTATATTTTATCACACACACACACAAGCACCTGCAAAACCCATTCTTTCATCCCTCGTTTTTCTTTCTTTGTACGTATCAGAGTTTAAGTAATTGTGTATATTTTTTGTTTACTGTCTCCCTTCCCCGTTAGAAATTAAGTTGTGTAGGGGAACCCCACCTACTTTTCTTCACTGTCATTCTCAGCATGGTGCCAGGGGCATTCAGGAACTTAACAATTGCTTGTTGAATGAATAATGAATTAGAAGGCAACACAAAGGCAACACATGCAGTTCCTCCCTCAATCATTTTCTATCATTTTCTGTCCCCTACCTCTGATTGTTTTCGCTGCTCAATGTTCCAAAGTTATCCAGTAGGTTCTTGTTGTTTGACCTTGTACTTAGCATCTTATTAAGTGAAAGGTCTTACCATCAGCTCCTCTCTCCCTCCCCTCCCCCTCCCTCTCTCTCTCTCTCTCTCTCTCATATATATATATATATATATATATATATATATATATATATATATATATATATATATATATAATGGTGCCATTGACCATGACCAGCTCACTCTGTGCAAAGGTATCATTAATAGGCTTTCCTCCAACAATGTGATATGTTGTGTGAGGTTCTGGTAGATTCTATAGGTTCCATCACAATTTAAGTTATGAAATGGGCAAGAGTTTCTCAATTTTGTCTGTTAAACAAAAGGTCTATGGAAAGAAGTCATTCATTCAGTCATCCTGTAATCAGTTGCTGAATGCTGATTATGTGAGTCAATGAGAATTTTTACATGAAATGCACTTAAGGCACTTGGCACCACAGTCAATTAGGTATTAGGGTCAAATGTTTATCCGTATTCAGAACCTGAAGTATTCTAAATTGTCAGCTTTTCTGTTAATTATATTTTCTCTATTCTTGTAGTATTTCTATAATTAAGGTATGCTCTAAGAAGCATAGTTTTGTTTCATTATATAGATGTTCATATAGCCATGGAGACAGCTGTTGGAAAGATTAAACATGTTCACTCTCATGGCTGTGACAGTGAAGAATGGAAAATGGGGGAAACAGGCAAAGTCTGTATCTGGTGTGGTTTTGAGACAGAATTAAGACAGCATCTTCTGTTCAGACTAAAATATTAACCTGATGTCAGAGCCATGGACGTCAGAAGGTAATCGCATCAGTGCTTTGAACCCAGCTAACCATTTGGAGCTGTTTGAGACAGACTTCTCACAGAGCACCTCAGTATCAATGGCTTCCATCCAAGGACCTCCCAGGAGTCTACAGGCCAAGAATCCATGTGGCCCCATCTCACTATGCCCTCTGACCCATCCCTGGATCCCCAGGGAGACCATGAAGCCTGCAAGTCACAGGCCTGAACCCTGGGGCCTCCTCTCAACCTCCTGCCTGCTCTGAGCTCCAGCCTCATATCTGGCTCTCCTCAGGTTCCTCCTTATGATGGGTGTGCTCTTCTGCTGTGGAGCGGGCTTCTTCATCCGGAGGCGCATGTATCCCCCACCGCTGATCGAGGAGCCTGCTTTCAACGTGTCCTACACCAGGCAGCCCCCCAACTCGGCTCCAGGTCAGCCAGCCCCCTGTCCTTGTCTCTCCTCCCTATAGTTTTTCCTGTCTTCTATAAACATTTATAAAGGGTACTGCCACAAAGTATGACTTGAGAGAGAAAATTCAGGCCATTTTATTCATTTAAATGTTGATGACCAAGATTATATATTCATTACCTCATATTCTTACATCATTATTGGTACGACTTGTATACAGTTCATATATGCATATTATTTTGTTCTATTCCTTTTTCCTTAAAAATTATTTCATGTATAAGATTCTGGGTAGGAACAGTAATTTCCCTGCCATTCTTAATGCCTCTGGATTTACTGTTGTGTTACTAAATAGAACTTGCCTAACTCCTCTATGATTGCTGATAATTTTTGGTTTTACCTTTTATTTATACATCTATTCAATGTATTTATTGTGCACTTACTAGTATTATAAGTGCTGCTGTAAACATTTTTCTTCAAGTTATATTTGGTCTTTTTAGAGCATATCACCTAAAGCAATGTGTCAGAGTCCAAGAGAATGAGCTATTTCTTAGTTATTTTAAAACATTTTGCCTTAACTTTGAATCTCTTATCTACTGTGGTGGGCAGCATTGGCTTTAGACATTGGCTGGTGCACTGGTTTTGACATTGTATGTGAGGTCCCACTTCCTTAGAAGGAGCTTTCTGAGAATACATGAGAGCCCAGAGCCTCAGAGGGCTGGTAAGGCTCTGTTCATTAGAGCTCTGGGTTTGTGAACAGGTGTGCAGTGAGGATAAGGGGTAGGTTTGTGGCTTGTGTTCATGCTGCTCTTCTCCCAGTTTCTACCTGAGAGACTGGGGGGGGGGGCAGTGATGACTAGTTGATTGCATACTGCAAGTGGATTATCAGAATTCCTGGAGCAGTTCTTACCTTGCTTTTACAAAGTTCTGGTTAAACAAAATGAATTAGTCTTAGAGCATCCAGGCTAGAATGAATAAACTGTGATGTAATAATTAAAAATTTGTTAAGAGGGTAGGTCTTAATATTAAGTGTTCTTATCACTCACAAAAAATACTAATAGTAAATAAGAGGCTAGAGAAAACTTTGGAGGAGATAGATATGTTTATGCTATACATTATAGTAACGATTTCATGGATATTTAGTCATTGGCAAACCCATGTTTTATACATTGCATACAGCTTTTTGCATATCAGTCACACCTCAAGAGAGTAGTTAAAATAAAAGAGAGAATTAGGGGGATTGAATGTAAAAAGGACAGACTGTCCTCAAGATGCAAAAAGAACAGAGATGGTCATTTACACATTGCTTTTTCATGGTTTTCTTCTACCAGATATTTTGCAGGATTTTCCTTTAAAAAAGAATTTTATGGGTTGGGCATGGTGGTTTGAGACCAGCCTTGGCAATTTATTGTGGCCCTGTCTCAAAACTAAAAAATAAAAAGGACTGGGGATATAGCTCAGTATTAATCTTCCCCTGGGTTCAATCCCCAGTTCAACTCTACTCCCCCCCCCCAAAATTATACTTTTATTGATTATTTTTTAAAATGTTACCCAGAAAGATATGAATATAGAAATACATTAAACTGTCACTCAAGGCTAGTACCATTTTGTAAGTACACATGAATTTTATTCTTTCATGTTTTTTGTTTGTTTGTTTTGGGTTTAGGTTATTTGTTTGTTGGCAATGCTGGAAATTGAATCCTAGGCCTAAGGAAGCACTCTACCCAGTGGAGGCACATTGAGCTACACCCCAGCCCTTATTAGTGTTGAATTCATATTTGATCACAGTGTGAAATCCAAATTTTCAGCTAAACTGGAAAGCCAAAGCCATCATTCATTGAATTTTCATCTGGATTAATTAGAGAATTTTTGATACAGGGGAAGCAGCCCAGGCCCTCGTTGGCACACATGGCCACACTGGCCCCACAGATGCAAGGTGTGTCCTTGGTTCTTTGTGCTAGCTGAGTGTCAGGATATGTTGCTCCTCCATTCATCTGCACTGGGACAAACATAAGCAGGTGATGTTATTAGATCCACATTTTAGCTGTATAGTTTCCCTTGAATGTCCCATGGCATCTGGGTATTAGCAGAAGAGAATGCATCCCTGTTTGCTCTTCTTCTTCATGCTGGTCTCTGTTTTCTGTGTAGCCATGCACCATTTCTCTTGGTGGAATCATTTGTCTCCTTTGCCAACTGTATCCAACAAATAAGTCATTAGATTTTACTGAATTTTACTTCAGACCCTTATCTCACCCTGAGCAGCTCCTATTACAAGTTTTCCTAGTCATGGGTCTCCACTAGCTCTTCTCTGTCTTCCACATATCCATCAGAAAGTTCTAAGAAAAAGAAGAATGTAATTAGTGTTATTCTTCTGCCTCAAACTCTTTGTTGGCTTACTTTGCTCATAGATGGAAGTCTAGACTCCATAGCCAAGGACCCAGGCCACTTCATATCTCACCCGACTTCTCCCTACACCTCTACATCTGATCCTCTGTGCCCAGGCTGAGTGACCTCCTCCATCTAGTCCTGCCATCCCACGGGTCCCACACCTGCCTGAAAACACTCACTCTTCCTCCAAGATGTTGCTCTGTGTTGCCCCCAGGGTGAGATCACCCCTGGCCATTCTCTCTCCTTCACTTTCTTCCCTGGGTGTTCTGCCTCCTGCTTTAACAGCTTTTACTATGGTGGGCTTTGGTCTTGGTCTATTCTGTGCTGCTATAACAGAATACCAGAGTCCAGATATTCATAAAAAACAAATTTATTTCTCATGGTTCTGGAGGCTGGGAAGTCCAAGATTGAGGGGTCAGTATCTGATTGGGGCCTCCTTGCTATTTCACAATGTGGCATAAGCTATCACATGAGTGAGAACTATTAAGAGATTGAACTCATGGTCCTAAGCCCATTTGTAATTGGCATGTAATTCATTCTTGAAAGAGGAGACCTCAGTGACCTAAATGGCTCCAATTAGGCCCACCTCCAAACATTACTGCTTTGCAGATTAAGTTTCCAGCTTGCTTTTACAGGGGACACATTCAAATCATAGCATCGTTAGTCCTTCATGTATACAATAGACTCCCCAATTCAGCTGTGTGTAGTACTCGGGTCTCAGGTACCAAGAAGATGCCCAGCCCATGTCTGTGGGCCAAGTGAACTGCAGTTGCTCCTGGGTTTACAGCCTGATAAAGTTGGGCTTAGAATACAGGGAGCCATATTTGGAGCCTAGAGGAGCCCAGACCTGTAAGAATTATTCTTTTGGCCCATATTTACTCTAAACCCACTAAGATACCTGCAGGTATGTAGGATACCAGTGCACAGCCTGAATTCCAGCCCTGTGTGCATTGCATAGCTTTCTCACTGGTGTGATATCCCATAGCACAAAAATAACTAGTCTGCCCTCCATATCTGAATGTTCCACATCTGCAGATTCAACCAAGTATTTATTATATTTGAAAAAAAAGCATCTGTACTAAACATGTAGAGACTTCTTTCCTTGTCATTATTCCAATAGAGTATAATAAATAGAGTATAATAAATATTTATATATTGTTTGCATCATATTAGGTATTATTAATGATCTAGTAATAATGTACTGTATATGGGAGGATGTGTGTAGGTTATATACAAATACTGTGCCATTTTGTGTAAGGGACTTGAATATTTGCAGATTTGAGTATTCAAGAGGAGTCTTAGAACCCAAGGATAACTACATATAGTTACTGACCATAATGACCATACTGACCATAATATATATAGTTACTGCACAAAGTTGAGGATGCTTAGAAACCATGTAAATGGAAAAATCCATCTGGTGCTCAGATCCAGGAGGATTCCTATAGAAAGGTTATTTGGACTGAAGAGTAAGTAGCATCATTTAACCAAGATTGAAGTGGGGGAAGGGGTGGGAAACTGAGAACTGGAAGGTGGGGTCCTATCCTGTCTCATCAGCCTTTTTAAAATGCCCACAAGAGTCTCCTAAGCTACAGAGCTCCAAACAGCTGCTGTCAGTCCCAGAAGCCACAGTGATAACTGTAGTATTCTTTAGAAAAGAGAAATTTAACAATCTAAGTCAGGAGCCAGGAGTACATGCCTATAATCCCCGTGGCTCAGGAGGCTGAGGCATAAGAATGGCAATTTCATAGCCAGGCTCAGCAACTTAGTAAGGCTCTAAGCAACCTAGTGCAATTCTGTCTCAAAAAGGGCTGGGGATCTGGCTTATTGGTTAAGCACCCTGGGTTTTAATTCCCACTACTAAAAAAAGGAAAAAATCTAAGCCAAGAGAAATAACAAAAAATCTCAACTACCGCTGTTGAGTACCCCTGAAAGCATATCACTCTTTTTTTTTTTTTTAAGTTTATGTAGCAAGAGAAAGTCAGAGAATCCTGAATGCTATAATTCCCACATCCTTCCCCATCATGCTGCTGAGAGGGCCTCATCCATGTGCCCTCCATGTTAAAGAGAAAAAACAGATTTCATTCATTCTTTCTTTCAATAATTCACTCAGGAAGCGTTAGCTAACTAACACCAGCGGCCAGGATTTGAGTGGAATATGCTCACTAACCTGTAGGAACACAAACAGTGGAGAAATCAAACTTAGAAACCCAGGCTAAGGCAGAGCCATGCCTGTAGGGTAGGAAGGACTGGATTTCAGGAAAACCTGAGAGGTGGCCTCCACTCAACTCAGTGCTTTTGTGGTTGAATGAGAGGAGGGGGTAGTTCTGGGAGCTACAAAATAAAAGAAAATTAAATTATAGTCTTCTGTACGTGATATTATATAGCTACTGAAGCTGATAGTCAAGGTCAAGGCTACATAACTGTAAGGCAAGAAAATCAAAAGACACACTTAGCAAAGAGAGAGGTAGGTAATATCTTCAGAAGAATGGCCACATCATCACCAGTGTGATCACACAAGTATACGCAGAGAGATTGGGCATAATGTTAATGAAATCTTTGATGTTATTTTTATTTAAGTTTTTAAAAAATTATTTGTTATTTTGTTTGTTTGTTTTAATGAAGTAGTTAGAAATAAATGGAGGACACCTCAGTTGGTTCAGTAACTTAGCTATTGTGAATTGTGCTGCTGTAAACTATAGTATGCTGATTTTAAATCCAGATTCTGCAGTCATGTACAACTAAAAAAAAGCAGTAGGGGGGGAAAAGTATATGGAACATGCTCATTGGGAGATAGTCTCATTTCTTTCCAGCTGCACATTTGTAATGATTTCATTGATGGTTTGCTGACTGTTCCAGTGTCTCAATCCTATAATAAATCTGTCAGCTCGCAGTGATGGTGGCCACCTAACTAAAGGACACCAACTGTAATAAAATGGAAATGGGGGAGGGTGTTTTGACAGTTTAATTGCTTTCCAAATGATAGCTGAAATACAAACAGGGCTGCTTCCACAGTGAACAGTCATCTCATGGTACCCATGGGAGCTTGATTCCAGAACACCGCCCACTCCTGTGGATCCAAGGATGCTCAAGTCCCTAATTAAAAATGGTGTAGTATTTGCACATAACCTGTTCATAGCCTTCCATATACTTTAAATCATCTCTAGATGATCTATAAATATGATGCAAATGTCATGTAAATAATTAGCCTGTATTATTTAGGGGATAATTTCCAGGGGAAAGAAGTCTGTTCTTCTATGTTCAATACAGTCTGTTCTATGTTCAATATAGATGTGGTGTTCTCATGAATATTTCAACCTGTAATTAGTTGAATCTGAAGATGCAGAACCCAAGTATACAATGAGGGCCTACAGTAATCATTTTTCTACATGATGGAACTTTAGCTTTGCAGAGATGGTTGTGGAGGAGTCTCTCCCCATCTCTAACCCCTGTGGCTCTTAAATTCCCATTCTTGTTTTTTGGAGTTTTTTTCCCCCCTGAGAGGAACAGTGGGTTTCGGGGATGTGGGTGGGTTTTTGGAGTCCTGTGCTTCATGGGGTCTCACTTCCATGGTTTTTCCACTTAAATGGCTCCCAATGGCCTTCTTCAGAGTGGCATTATTTTAGATTTTATGGTTTTAGTGAAAGAAATTAAGTGGAAGTATTTGAAATTATTTGTTGAAAAAGCATAGGTGGCTATCTCCTAGTAACACTTTCATGGTTACCAGATTATTTCTTACCAGTTACCCCTGATGGCAAAAGGTGACTGATTGGCAATGGAATTAAGGTAAAAAGCTTGTGGTTGTGACAGTGGCTTCATTTGGAGAAGCCCACAGTCTGTCATTGCCTCACAACATGACGTGTTTCCTGCTGCCTGGGAGTATTTCTCCTCAGAGTTCAGTGCTGTCTGTCAGTCTGATTTTCTGTGTCTCTCCCTCTGTCATTGTGACTCTAGTTGTTCTCTTTTCAACCTGGACATCCTCCCTCCCTTTCTCCAACAGCTCAATTACTGTTATAATTTATTTGCACTATCCAGTTCTCATAAAGTAGACACATAGAATGTTCTACTGTACAAAAGTGAGCGGGTTTTTTGTTGTTTTTTGTTAAGAGGGACAGATAACACATTTCATAAACAGTCTGTTTCATACAAGAAGGGATTTTGTTGTTGTTTTGATTTTCTGAGACAGGGTCTTGCCATGTTGCTCAGGCTGACCTTCAACTCCGGCGCTCAAGAGATTCTTCTGCCTTAGCTTCCTAAATACTGGGATTACAGATGTGCCACAGAGGACAGAACTTTTTACTTATTGTTAGAATTAATCACAAAGAGCTTTTAGACCCATAATCTTTGTTTAGGGGAGCAGAAACTTACAATAAATGTAAGTCCCCTGATAACTGTTCTCTGTTTTGCCAATGATAGAGCAAAACAGTCTGAGCCCCATTTAGAATGACTGTTATTAGTTCTTCCACAGGTGGAGAAAGGGGAAACTTGGACCAAACAGTACTGAATGCTCATGTATTGTAGTGAGGCCTATGGCTCCTCCAAGTGATGGACATGTGTGTACACCCTTCAGTCATTCACCAAATGTTTTGTGAGCAGGTGTCCTGTGTATTGGCACTGTGCTTAGCTACGGGCATATAGTAGTGATAAAGAGCAGCAGCCCCTACCCCCAGGTTCTGACCTTTGCTTCTAATAAAAACGTCTAACCCCTTTGCTCTAATAGAAAAACATAGATGTTATAAAGCCCAAAATAAAAACTGAATTTTGAAATCCTTTTTATTTCATTTATATGTTCAGATTATCTGTGAAACTTTAACAAAAATATGTTTTCTAGTTTATCTTCCTTTTTCTTCTTAGTTGATAAGCTATAGTTTCTTGTGATGTAATTTTCTCTTTTTAAGAAGACTTTTAGTGACTTGAGAAGATACTTTAAAAACATAGGAAGTCCTGT